TACATAAATCCACAGTATAAATAGCCAGCCTATAATAGTAAAAGCCTACATACATTTTTTTTATAATCTCCACAATCAAAAGCAGTGTCTGAAAATATTTGATTATCCCCCACTATGACATCAGAAGCCCGGCTCAGGACTGGTGATGGAAACCCTTTACCTTAAACCACTTAAGTGTTGACAGGAGGCTAAACTAAAATGTCCTAATTGAATTAACACAGAATTTAAAGGCTTGTGGTATTGAGCAGCACACATCTCTAATGACAACAAAGGCTAATTAAAGTTAGATTAATGTGGAGCTGCTTGTTTCATTGATGTCTGAATACAAAGTGCTGTATGATTAAAAACAACAGTCAGCATGTTTACATAGACACCAATTTTTTTATTTATTTTAATATGATTAAGACAATACTCTTATTAAGAGTATTTTAAAACAGAAATTTTTAAAGACCTTAATGTGACTACATAAGCCATAATTGTAGTAAACACAAATTGAATTGAGATGCTGTGTATTTCTATTTTAGTCACATTATTGAAGTGCAGGACAGATACGTAAACACTTTAATCTATTACCATCATGTAGGACTTGTCTCCACTTGATATGACAGACTAGTACATACACACACTGCTGTTGGACACTGTATTGTTTGCACCTACTGAGTCATTCCAGTATGGTAGGACCCTAGAAAGCAGAATATCCAAGGGCACAAGTGCACGCACAGTAAACTCTTAAGAGATCATTACACAAGTCATCGGTGTGCAGTATCAAATTCTATTGAAACAGTTCTTTCCTATCTGTCCTTACTTCATACTTTCATTCAGTATCTCAAAATTTGTTGCGGGAGCTGCTGAAAGTTTGTTGACGAACTGCTGAGCTGTAGTTGAAGTAAAAAAAAATTTTTTTTAAAAATTCTGAAAGCAGCTCATATAAACACCTTAATCATATTATTGGCTTATTCAAATTAGGGTAAATATTTCAATTATCGATGTCCATGTAAATGAAGTCAGTGACTACATTTGAAGAAACATCTAAAATGTATCTGATATTTGCCTATATTTACTTTGTTTATTGGTCTTATTGGTTCTTTTTTTTTCTTACTTGACTAGTCACATATATACTTTTTTCAAATAAAAACTAAATTGTACATACCTGTTGATTTTAACCTATTGTTGCACACTTTGGGTTGAATACAGTGTTATCAGAAATTGAAAAAAAATCCGTAAATGTCTAAAGCTACATGTGAACTAATCCAGATAAATTTGAAATAATTTTTTTTTCTCTCTAAAAACACTCAGAAAAAAATGGTAATCCACACTAAAGTGACTGAAAATACTTTCGTTCATGTATTGCGCATGTGTACAGACATAAGACGCTTTTACCTGTGTCATGTTGACCTGCCGTTTATTTACTTTCTGTCTCTTTGAAATATTGTGACAAAATGTTGGCATGTAACACAACTGTTGTCTGTTCCCGCCACTGAACAATAGCTCGCTGTAAACATTCCATGTCCTCTTGAAGAGAAACAATATGTAACATGGAACTGACATAAATCTTTAATAAATATGTCAAAACAGACAACATCCAAAACATCTGCTTTACAGTGTCATTCACCATGTTAACTGGATTTGTCTCATGTCTGTGTCACATGTTTTCGAAAGCTTCTGTTTTCACAGTCCACACTGCAACAGCAGCGTTTTCAAATTCTTCCATATTTTACAGTGTATTCAGAGAGATGCATTTTAATTTCCTAAAAACTCTGTCTCAGTGTGAATGGAAGGCTGAAACAGAAAGAAAAATATGCATTTTTTAATTTTTACGAAATTTACACGTATAAGTGTGGATGTCAAAACGCATGTCAAAACTTCTCTAAGACACCTGAACCCTCAGAGGGTTAACAACAGACAGCAGTGTGTACTGTATGTTATACTGCTGTCATTTTAATACACAGATCTAAAATGAACATGTGGTTTCTTTCCCGGGAGTTTATGCTCACAGACATTATCGACTGTGTTTATATGAACTTTGTGTGTTTTGATATAATGGTTTTGGACATTTTAAGCTTTGTAAGACATTAAGGTGAACTGTAAAATTACTAAAAATAAATTTAAAACTCACTACACACATGTTATTTGACAGCTGGCTTTCTCTGCACGTGTTATACTGTATATACACTCACTGGCCACCGTGTTATACTGTATATACACTCACCGGCCACTAAAGTACTCCTCACTATTACCAGGTTGGACTGCCTTTTGTCTTCAGAACTGCTTTAATCCTTCGTGGCGAGCCTGTGGCGTTGACACAATGCTCAATTGGTGTTAATGGACCCAAAGTCTGCCAAGAAAATATCCCCCACACCATTACACCACCACCAGCAGATGCTTTTCTGCATACCTCAGTTGTAACGAGTGATTATTTGAGTTACTGTGGCCTTTCTATCAGCTCAAACCAGTCTGGCCATTCTCCTCTGATCTCTGGCATCAGCAAGGCATTTGCGCCCACAGAACTGCCACTCACTGCGTATTTTCTCCTTTTCTGACCATTCTCTGTAAACCCTAGACATGGTTGCGTGTGAAAATCCCAGTAGATCAGTTGTTTCTGAAATACTCAGACCAGCCCATCTGGCACCAACAACCATACCACATTCAAAGTCGAATAAATCCCCTTTCTTCTCCATTCTGATGCTTGGTTTGAACTGCAGCAGATCGTCTGGACCACGTCTAAATGCATTGAGTTGCTGTCATGTGTTTGGCTGATTAGAAATTTGTGTTTATGAGCAGTTGGACAGGTGTACCTAATAAAGTGGCCGGTAAGTGTATTTCTGGAGTTTAAACTGACAAGTCTTTCAGTTGAAGGCGGATATTAAACCTAGTGCGTAAGATAGACATGATAAAACCCAGAAGGCATTTTGTTTTGAGATTATCTGAGATATGGTGTGTAAAGCCTTTGCTTTCTTCTGGAAATGGGGTGAAGAGTAGCTTATTTGCATCCTAAAGAGACACATGAACAAAACATGTTTTTTTGCATTCACTCAAGAAAGGGTATTTACAGGATATAACACATAGCCTATAGGGTATTTTGAGCTGTAACATTCTGAAGAGACACGAGTTTCTTCTCGCATCCATCCGTCTAAAAATAAGCATAATATAATTATTATTTTAAGCATATTATTTCATATGCATATATTTTCCCTTTACAATCTTCCTTTTAGTATGATAGTTTACCCATAAATAGAAATTATACTATCCTTTGCTTTCTCTGCTGCTTTACACCTAATGCTTTTCTTTAGTCTGATATATTTGGTATAATCAATGGGTGATGTGCATAAAGTAAGAATGTGGTCAACAGGTAAGTCATTGTAAGAGACAAATGAGCTTATAGAGAATATGAACTAATGGATGTGCTGTATGAGGCAGCCCTTTAAGCTGAAGATGCTTTTAGTTCTATCAGGGTTCTTACTCTGTTGGTTAACAGGTTTCTAGGTTACTTTAGATTCCGCTCTTTTTGATTCATTAACAAGGCCACCGTTTCTACATGTGTCCTTATGGAACTGCTGGAAGTGAGCAACAGATTTTCAAAAAACTTGAGTTCGTTAATTAAATGATCTGTTCTTTCAATGTGTACAAGGGATGCCATTTAAAGTTATGATGATTTTTTTGTCATTTTAATAAATAAAAAAATGTTAATGAAAAACAACCAATTAACCTTAATACTGCATGGGGAATTAACTAACAGTAGCATATAAGCCACTGACTTGATATAAAGTGAATATGCTTCTCAAACGACCAACTTACTCAAGAGAAAATGTTTTTTTTACTTGAAATAATCGCCACATTGTAAAATGATAGATGTGATTTATGGTAATTTGATAAAATGATCATAATGAGTGTTATTTTCTTCTCAAATGTGCATAGGATACTGTCCACATAATGACAAATTTGCAGACTATGCAGAAGGAAACTTTTACTAACTCATAATCTGCTGGCCATCTGCTCAACATTATTCTTCATTTGTACTGCCTAATAAAATAGCATGTGAAAATATGGTGCTTTGTATACTGTCACTTATGACACTTTTTAATTTTGCCTTGTGACATGTTCATTCATTTTCAAATGAAACCACATGTTCTGCTTGGTGTACCATAAAATTGCAGCCTAATTTAGTTTAATTTTAAGTAAACTTAATTTAAACTTAACTTGGTTTTTCACACCTCAATACTTAAGACTCTAATGATGATTTGCCTTTAATGACCACTGATATTTTTTGCTGATTAAATTAGCAATGACAATTAAATGTCAACATCCTTATGCTAATTTGCAAAGCAGTTTTGTAATGTCCTTTACTTGTTTTAGTTTGAACTTTAAGACAAACCACAGATGTGTCTTGGTAGTAAAAAAAAAGGTTTATGCAGTTCTAAGAAAAAATGTTCTTTTGTTGAAATGACTCTAATAATGTCTAAAAAGTCTCCTTCTATCATTCTAGCATCATTGCAAAGCACTAAGAGGTAATAACAGTAATAACAATATATAATAAAACATTAATAACAAAACGTCTGAGGATATAGACCTGCAAGCGGTGGAAATGAAATCCTTGGCATAGACATGGCAGTCATATTTTTGTAGTCATGACCAAATATGATCCCTGTGGCTCTCATTATGCTCAAAGCCTTCCTCATTCATTCAGCTTCGGTTTTCACAGTTCTGTTATATTCCTCAGGCAGATGCTCAGTTGTGAACAGTGGAGATGCCTAGCTTATCTGAAACTTTTTAGCAATTCTGTGAGCATCTACGCCCTATGCCCTATGTCTGTGCCTTTCCTCAATCTCTCTTTCCATCCTAATGTCCATCGTCTCCTTTTTTTGTCTTCTGTTCAGTCAATCAGTCCTTTTATAAAGAAAGAAAGAAAGAAAGAAAGAAAGAAAGAAAAAAAGAAAGAAAGAAAGAAAGAAAGAAAGAAAAATGTAATGTGTTTATGAGTTCTGTGTATTTTTGTGTCTCAGGGTGTCCCACTGAGTGGGATGAATTTTGGTGCTGGTCTGGGGCAGAAGTTGGACAGGTGGTCAACATCTCCTGCTCTGAAGTATCTCAGCTATTTGTGAATCATGGTAAGATACTGCTATCGTATTTAGATTTTTTATTACTAATTGTCTGTTTTCAAATATCAACAGAAGCACAACTTTAGGATGTTGATTGGGTGTGTTGATGGATGATCTCAAGCTACTTTAAATCGGAATTGAAGAATAAACTGGTGTAACATTATTTTGAATTCACACACACGTTGGTATTGTTGGTTTACAGGGAGTCTCCATTAGTGTAATGCGTTTTGTACAGTAAAATCTGCTTATTATATGGCCTTACCCCACACCTACCCCTAAACCCAACTCTCACAGGAAACCTGTGGCAAATTTTCATTGTCACAAAACCCACATTAGGACAGGGGGGTTCCCAAATGTTTTAGCCTGCGACCTTCAAAATAACAATGCCAGTGACTTGTGACCACCAATATGCCCTAAGATGGTTATAAATATATAAATCTTGTACACAACGGCACACACATACTGTACCAATAGGCCCAAGTTTATTCATCATTTAATTTTAAAGCACGCCTCTCTGAGATTATCCTCTATGTTCAGTTGTGGCCTGTATTTATTTTTAATGTATGTGACAGGCGTAAAGCTGTCAGAAAGTTTAACCTGGTTCCATAAAATATACAGTTGAAGTCAGAATTATTAGCCTCCCTTTAAATTTAATTTAATTTTTTAAATATTTTCCAAATGATGTTTACCAGAGCAAAAACAAATGTCACAGTATGTCTGATAATATTTTTTCTTCTGGAGAAAGTCTTATTTGTTTTATTTTTACTGAAATTGTGGAAAAATAAACAGGGGGGCTAATAATTCAGGGGGACTAATAATTCTGACTTTAACTGTATGTGCTGTGTCTTTAATATAACGTAATCACCCAAGAGGTTGCAAAAACTATTTTTCTTCTGTAGGTTATGGATAAAATGTGGTGATTGTTAGTTTAATAAAAAATATTTTTATTTTTGAAAATTACGAAGTGACTTCCCCTGATTGTCTTGCGACCCCCGCCTTTGGGAAGCACTGCATTAGAACATTGTCATACAGACGGCATCATACAAGACGCTGTCAAAAGATACTGGTATTGCTATACTTTTGGGGACATTAATTCCTCACAGCATGAGGAATAGAATGTGTAAAGACACACGCTATAGACAGTGACTGCTGTAATTTATTGCACAAGTAAATACACAGCCATTTGCTTTTGTCCTCTGCATTAAAGATTTCTAAAGATCCACTATTGCGTCTTTAATAACATTTGCAGATTAGGTATGATTGGAGACATCAGGGTGCTTTAAAGACTGAACTCTTAGGAAGTGAATGGATTTTTTTATGCTGAGGACTTGAGGAATATACAAAAGAATTTATGCCACAAAGAAACTTTTGCAAAGTAAGAAAGGAAGAAAACAATGACCTTTGACCTAGAAATGCATCTTTATTGTTTAATGTTACAATAACAGATTAAATGGAACGAATGCTGTGCTAATATGTAAATTAAAATTACTACATTATAAACTAATAATGAGTTAAGGCATGCTCAGATTATGAATTAACTTTTTACAACATGAGTCATTGTGCTTGTTAGTACATGTTTGTTAATGTATTATTTAACGCTTTAGCTAAATGTAACCAAAATAAACTGTTAATCTTTCTTTAAGTCATCACTTTACTTGGAGGGGCACACTATTATTAACTCATCATGAACTCTTGTTTTACATTCGAAGAGTTCAGATGGAAACCCCTCTAAATCCATCAGATCTCTTTTCTTGTAAATGAGCATTTTCTAACAGGCTCCTCTGATTAGGTTAAGAAGTTTCATTTTATATGTAATGATAAGGTTATTAGCTAGTAAATAAAATACCCTGTTTTTTTTTCCAAAAAATATCACTTTAGACAATTGTTTGTTTTTTTAACAAGGTAGATTTTCTTTGGTGTCAAAACCAGCTTGTGCTTTTTTATGCAAAACCCTCTAAACACACCTATTGGAACAATACAGTGTAATTAGTTGAAAATCACTAAAGATGCATATAGAAATCAATTTACCAAACATAAAACACTACACAAACCACCTGAAATGTAAAATGTATAAAGTGGCGGTTTATTCCGCTGTGATAAACCAGGGACAAAGCAGAAGGAAAATGAATGAATGAAATCTGTCAAGTAAATGCATTAATCAATAACATTTAAACTGCCATTAAATCTTATCAATCTGTTGTCATTTCTGATATTTGAGATTTAGATTTAATGTAAGTAGATTTAATTTAAAGTAACATTGTAAACTAAGCTTGTTAGATTCAAATAATGTAGTGTAAAAACATTGTGAAACATCAATGTCTGTGCATCGTCCATTAATATTAAAAGATTATCAGATGTACAGGTATTTTGAAGTAATACAAATGATGTAGTTTTTTACATTATCTTTTAAAAAATAGCTTAAATTAGCAAATAAAACACAAGGTGGGTCTACTGGGCAAAAAGGGGATGCCTCTCAGACAATTTTAGAAGCTGTCATTTATTTATTCTTACCATACTTGAAGTCTTGGTCAAGTAGGATAAAAGAACAGCATCTGAGCTTGCTATAAATGCATGCTACACTTCCGACTGTACATTTTGTTTCTTTGTCTTATAATGCACAGAGTTTTAAGGTAAGGGCCGTTTCATTTGCCATTCACTGACAGTCGGACAGGCTCATTCAGTTCATCAAACCCCATCTTTTACTATCAAAATCGAAAGCGGAATATTCATTCATTCATTCATTTTCTTTTCAGCTTAGTCCCTTTATTAATCCGGGGTTGCCACAGTGGAATGAACCACCAACTTATCCAGCAAGTGTTTACGCAGCGGATGCCCTTCCAGCCGCAACCCATCTCTGGAAAACATCCACACACACACTCATACACTATGGACAATTTAGCCCACCCAATTCATCTGTACCGCATGTCTTTGGACTGTGGGGGAATCCGGAGCACCCGGAGGAAACCAACGCAAAGGCAGGGAGAACATGCAAACTCCACACAGAAACGCCAACTGAGCCGAGGTTCGAACCAGCAACCCAGCGACCTTCTTGCTGTGAGGCGACAGCACTACCTACTGCGCCACTGCCTCGCCGAAAGCAGAATATGTCTCCTCTTAAAAGCCGGCGTATCAGCACACTGCTAAACTGAAAACATATGATTTGATTTGCGCATTCTGATTGGTTCTCAGGATATAGCGGTTTTTGCTTTTAAAAGCAAGTGGTGTTTAGTGGCTTTTGTTAGCAAACTGTTATTTCTGAATGTGCTGACGCTTGGATTTGGATGATTAGAAGCTAATTTATTTGCTGGTGGTGTACTACGTGGCTAAAGCATGCACTCAATGTCATTCTCATTTTTGGCAGAAGTGGCGTTTAGCGGCTTTTGCATCTGACCTCTTCATTTATTTTTTTGTTTAATTGAGGAGCTTAAAAAAAGCCAACTACAATGAAATGTTTCATATAAATCAGACATTTAAAATGTACACACTTGACAGGTAGAGGACAATGCACAAGACATTGTGAGCAAATTAAGACAAATGTAGAAGCAGCTCGACTAGTGTATTCAGTATTGAGCTCCATTGTGTTATAAATGGGATTGTTTGTTTTTACTATAATAGGCTGAATATAAAACGGTAAAATTAACATTTCGGCCTTTTATAAGAAAAAGTTTGAGCACCTTTGGTCTAGTGCATGTTTACATTGAAACAATAGAAGCATCACATCAAAACAAACATCTACATCAAAATTGACAGTTTAAACACAGAAATCATGAGTAGTTAAAATGAGACCATGACAATGTTCGCCTACAAGTAAAGTGATGACATAAAGATACATGAACAGGTCATGTTGGTTACATTTAGCAGAACATGTAATGTGTTAATCAATGCCATAATTAACAAACATATATAAGTAATTAAGATTGTATAGTAATTAAGCCATCATTTACACATTAACTCATTTCATTCATGTTGTCGTTAGTTCTTGATTAGTGCAAGGGTTAATTCCTCATTAATTTAATTTAATTCACCTTTATTTGTATAGCGCTTTTACAATATAGATTGTGTCATAGCAGCTTCACATAAAATATCATAGTAAGTTGAAACAGTGTAGTTCATAGTTCATCACTAGTTAAAAAGTAACATTTAGCTTACACTACATACTAGAACATCAAGGCTTATGTACTGTTGTTGTACAGTGTTTCCCATTTATCCTCTACAGCATATTCCGTTGCCAGATCATATTCTTTGGTTGGTCTCTTGTGTGCACTCAAGCACATGCAGCAAACAGACTTTCTTGACACTCCAACCAAGAGCAATAATGTGACAAGGCAAACACACACAGAGAAACATCATGAGTGCTCTGTAAATTCCTAGCTACAGCTTTAAATACCCAGATATCATAAACTCTGTTAATAGTTGCCACGGGACAACTGAGTGTATTTGTTTTCACAGGTTGAGTAGCTATTAAAGTTATTTGTGCAATGTGAGCAAGCATATTGGACTCATGATGGACTTTAAGTGTTGTCTTCAGGAAATTGGTAACAGTATATTTATACTGTACAGTTCCTAGAGTCTTGTGAGAGAATTTTCCCATCTCGTCACTATGGGTGAAAAAAAGTAGCATATGAGGGAACACAAAATAATGCCCATGGCTCCTGACGATATGATATGTTTTATGAAGCAAAAGATTGGTCTGTGCAAAGAAACTCAGCAATATTAAAAATATTATTACTTTAAACTACATCCTGGGGCACATGTGGAAATCAGAATCTTTTTATAAGAACTGGTTCTTTGTAATTCAAACAATTGATTTACCTTTTTTACAGTACATTGTCAAACATACACAACTATATTAGTAAAGCAACCAAAAGGAATGTAAAGTTAATGAATAAGTCTTTTTTTGCAGTAATATGCAGTGCTTAATTTGTAAGGTTTTGAAACTTAATTTGTAAGTTCCAGAACTAAACCAGAAAAATAAGCTATCGAGATTGACATCCACCTCACTATTTCAA